TTATTTCAAATTCGTGTTCTTATTTAAAAATCACACCGCGGATTCCAGGCTGAAAACGGGAGTTTGTGTACTTTTGCACGTTGCACTGAAGTGCTATTCTGTAACATTTTCACACGCAAATCCGATGTAGATCCGCTTGGTTCCGATATAAATCCGCGCGGATCCACATCGGAACTGCGCGTTAAAATTTTACAGGATAGCACTGCTGGAGTACTTATATGTGTTTGCTTTTGCGCATTTATACATCTTAATATATATAAATCTCGTGTCACAATGTTTGTCCTCAATGGACTCCTAAACCACTGAACCGATTATAATAAAATTCGCACACCATGTGCAGTTCGATCCAACTTGAGAGATAGGATAGTTTAAATCTCAAATTATAGTCGCAATTTTAATTTATTGCAAATTATTACTTTTGGGCGGTACGAAGTTCGCCGAGTCAGCTAGTAAATTATAATTAACAATGTCGCATACATACAGCTCTGCTACTGCAGTCAAGGTAAATAAGTACCTACTTTTTGACGACCTCCGTGGCCGAGTTGTTTATACGCCGGGTTTCATGGTGTCGCCGACTCGAGAGGTATCGGGTTCGAATCCCGGTAAGGGCAGATGTTTGTGTGATGAATACGAGCATTTGTACTCCAGTCATGGATGTTTAATATGTGTTTCTATATAAATATACTTATATATCCCATAACACTTACTACTTACTTTGGGGCTAGGCTTATTGGTGTGTGTTTAAAAAAAAACACAACGAGTAGGTTCGAAATCAAAACAGTAAATGGTGGAAATGTAAGCAAACATTCAAATAAATGAATATATGGAGCATACCTAGAGTCAGTGACATAATAGGGTATTTGACAAGTTTTAGAAAACGATCTCACGTTATTGACTAGTGTTTATGGAGTCCCTAAAAAGTGGATATTTATCATTCTGTTTTGTATTTCAATAAAAATAACCAAATCAAAAACTCCATTTTCAAGTTGCCGCGAAAACTTTTTCTGGACAACATGGCGACTTACTAGTGTGTGACGTCACACGACTGTTATTAAAACGTCAAACGATACAATGTAACTTCACTTTAGGCTCCGCCAATACCAAGCGTTTTGGGTCACGTGACAATAGATAACAAAACTATTGTCTTTATCGTGGGTTTTTAGTAAAATTATGAATATTTTTTTGTAAACATAGTAAAAACTCCTGCCAATATATATTCTAAACACAGATGCTAACAATTGGCACTTTATTTTTAATACTGTCAAATACCCTATTATTTTATTTTCTTTATCATCTGCTTTTTCTTCGTGTTTTTTTTTATGTTAAAAGGGTAGCAAACAAGCATATTATGGCCCACCTGATGGTGAGCGGCCACCATAGCCTGTGGATGCTTGCGATATAAAAATATCACTAATATATCATTTTATATCGACAGATTCGAGACAGTATCAAATACGAGTTCCTTTATGAAAATCTCACTGGGCACAAAAAAAACATGACAATGGCCTCCGTTACAGCCACCATCCAGACAAGAGTCATTATTTCCTACTTAGGACAGCGTAATTCTTATCTCAGTCCCTTTTCCCTAATGAGCTGATAATTTTTCCTTCTTATTCTTGCGTTGCTTGCAACCTTCCGAACATAACTCTTTGAAAAATATTTTTTTTGTAGAATACACCACAGTTCAACGAGGGCGTTGCGGATTACTTAGATCCATACAAGGGCAAATGTAATTAATGCCATTTGTTGGATCTAAGAAAACCAGAAATATTCGTCAATAATTAAAAAAAACGGTCTTTCCATTTATATTAAATACTGAGAGTATTAAACAATTTAGGGAAAAATTATAATTATATAGATATCAGTAACAACTTGTTTCTTTTTTACCAATTTAACCTAATATAAATTTATAGTTTTTATTTATAATAAAAACCTTTTTTTTATTTCAAATTGTATATTGGTAAAAAAAAACACCCTAAGAATAAATCATTGCATGAGTAAAGTCTGCAGGCGTTTATTTTTAATCTTTCTGTTAGATTTGGCCCAGATTGAAATCCGCAATACGCTATTTCATCACAGACTATTGAATCGATACAGCGGGCGTTTACCAGACACCTGGTCTTCTTAAGCCCTGGCATATCATCCAGAAGCTCATATGAGGATGGATTCAAGTTCTTTAAGATGCAATCTCTTCGCCAGCGTCGAATGAAGCTAGATATGTTTTTTTTGCACTGTATCGTAAACGACAAAATTGACTGCCATGATATTGTTAGCCAAATTGTTGTTTTAGTGCCATATACCTACCCGCGAAAACCAATATGAGTAATATTTAATATCTATATTTTATATATATTTGTTAGATCTAAGAATGACGTCAACACTTATAATTGTTGTTTTCACAAGTAAACAACCAATATAAAATATGTATATCCATATATGTTAAACACAATGTTAGTATTGCTAATAAAGAATAGATAGATAAAATTGTCAATGAACAATTTTTTTTTTTAAATAATTTACAATTAAGCAGAACTTAAGCAAATAGTCAATAGCACCAAAAAGCCTATAAATCGATAGTTAACCTTAAAAATTGTACAGGCTAAGATAAAATTAGAGGTGCGAGATGCTTTAAAAATTCTATTACTTATTGGAACTGAATCGAACGGATCCAATTAGTACGAGCAATTTCAATTCAGTATGTTCACTTTTTTTTACCGGGATGGTATGGGAAATGTTCCTGTGAGCTTTGCCTTTGGCTTTACGTATGAATTGTAGTACGGGTAGGATAATATATAACTAGGTACGTAATATGTAGACAGGGTAGATAGTGAGGGCGACAGGCGCCGCGCTTCGACGCCATCCAGCTGTGTTTGGCCTCCAGATCTAGGGTTGTAACGATTGCCATATATTCACACTCTTCTAGTTTTGTAATTAAAAGGGATTGAATAACATCTCGTGGATCGGGCGGAGTATCATTATGTGCCACACAACGAGATCAACCTTTTTGTATAGACAAAGTACGATTTAAACTTATTAGTGGTCCTTGCGCAGTACACGAAATGATGACGAAATGTGAGCGCGCGATTTCACTGTGGTTTCACTGAACTGATTCAACCTGCGCTTAGTTACTCTCACTGCTAACTTGACAGCCGCTAGTTTGAATGGGACTATACAGTATATCACGGTAAAATAATACTAGCATTTGGTGGTGTTTTGTTTCTGTCGGTGAGTAAGGTTCCAGGCAGTGCGCCACAGGGTAGGGGATTGAATCAGGGGAGGCAACGATGTGAGTGATATTTTTGGTATCGCAAGCTTCTATTAAATATATATGTAACTTGTAAAAATGTTTAACATTTTAGTATTACCGTAACTTCCTCACTCACAATGTTCACCTCCCGAGTTTTGTCAACTTAATGTAATGCGAACCATTCAGAAAAACTGAAATGTTAGGTCTTTGCGTTACGAGCTCAGCTCCATGCAAAAACCACTGTTTAATTGTAAGTTAAGTTAATATTTTGTATTGGTGAATAAATATATTTTGATTTTTTTTTCTATAGGCTATAGTGGCCGCTTATACCATCAGGCGGGAAAAACGCTTGTTTGCCACTCTTTTAACATAAAAAACGTAGACAAAGGAAGTAGTACAAGTTCAATGTTTTGTATTAAGGGTACTTGCACCAATGTTCTAATGAGGATCATTACTAGGTCAGCAAATCAACTCAAATCATTAGATCTTATCTCTCTTTTCTTAGAAAATATTAGACTTCAATCACAGTATAATGATCTAATAAGCTTTTTAATTAATATTCTTTTTAAATAATTGAAATCGGTTCAATGGTTGCGATTCTAAAACTAATTTTATGGTAGCCAATATTCACCGGCGATTGAAACGTGTGACGTCACAGATCTCGATCGTGGTTCACTCCGGTCGAACTTTAGTAGCGTCTGTACGCTCGCTCGCGCCCAAGCGCTAGAGCTCTGTGACGTCACAGCCACCACGCGGCCAACCGAAAATTCGTATAAGAATTTGGTCATAACTTCGTCAATATTTTGCGTAGAACAAAAATTTAACCACTGTATTTTATGGAATCTTTTATTCCAAAAATCTGCATTCTCAACTAAAATCGATACGGATTCTTATTCTGATTATTTTTTTAATTCTAATAGTTCAAAAAAACTCAACTGTATTTGAAATGTAAGAAAGAATGTTACGAAAGAGATCATGATTATGACAATACAAATAAATCTTTCTCCATTTCGATGAGTACACGATTGATGTTTATCAATAAGGAAAGAGTTTCAAATTCGTATGCTTTGTTATGGTAATGCGCCGCTTCGCACTCGCCGCTTCATTCACTCTTGTCAAGTTTCGTCTCAACTGTTCATAAGACGCTTTCAACATCGCTATTACTTCCAGTCGACAGCCCTGCTCGCGCTGGCTTGTCCCCTTTGATCAATGTACGGAAAACGAAGCGGCTGCTAACCGCCCGCGAAGTATTCACTAGCTCTATTGTATACGTATAGTATACACGGGAACACTGGGGAATATGTATGTACGAAACCCGACAGGCTAAACTTAATTGACTCTCTGCGACTAGCTTAGGTATGAATGACTTTAAATTTTTTAGTTCTGTTGGTTCTATGCATTATGCAATCTTATGATTTTTTTAAAGATTTTGTGATGATGTATTATGTGTAATAAAGTAGAACATTGATATTTTTACTTATTTTTGTATATTAATATCTTCGTCAAGTAATAACTTTAGACCCGTCTCTGAACACAATTTTTTTAAGGAGTGTGAGATTTAATAATGAAGAAATATATAGAGAAGAAGTGCAGAAGAATATTTTTTATAATGAAGCTACTACCACGCTTTGAAACACACATGCAAAGATTCTTTGATAGCATAACTGAAAAGGTCAAATTTTGGCCACTAGGTCAGCGCCTGTATTAATAAAATTTCACGTAAAAATCATTAGCAACCAGCGATTTCGATACTTTATTTACTAAGTTCCATTTTGGGTTTCAAAAAACACCATCGCACTTCGTGATGCGCCTTGAAGCCGAGTTTCTCATACAACTTACAAGCGTTCGTATTCCCCTTTCTACAATACGCGAAAACATTTTTATTTTCTCTCAAACGTGTGTTGCACACTTGTTTTAACAAGATCTCGGCGAAGCCCATCCTTCTGTGCTCGTTCAGGGTGTAGAGATGGGTTAGCGCTCCAACTTCGTTAACGAACACCCAAGATACAAGTTCGTGGTTTTTGAACACACCGTATCCAAAGTTTGCTTTAGCCAGCGTATCGAATAGCCACATGGAGCCGTTGTAGCTATTGCGCCAAGTGGAGTTCACGATCTCTAAATCATTTTCGCTGACTGGCTGGATGGTAACGTCCTCTGGTATACTGAATATATAAACAGAACATTAAAATGGACTGTACTGTAGGAAAGAAACCTTTACTCATGTGATTAATATAGAGATTTAAGTTTGAATTTAGAATCGATTTATAGCACCGCCAATGTGGGAAAGTTAAGTAAGCTATGTGCAGCCAGACACATCAAAATATAACCTACGTTTTTTGTGTGTGTACCGCAATTAATCACAATCACAATTTTTTTTACTGTTTATCGTTGTAGCGGAATCAGAAATACACATTGTGCGAGAATTTCGATTGCCTAATCTATTACAGATTATGTGATACAATCCTCTGATAGACGGACAGAGGGATAGCGTAGGCTTAGTATTAAGGCATTCATGTCACCTTTTGCGTACAAAAATATACGAAAATGTTTATTTTCTTTCTGCACTGCTAATCGCGTTTTTATCTGTATATGTAAAAGTCAACCGTTATTGATTGGTTGATCAACTCACACCCCAAACCACTGAACAGATTGCATCGAAATTTGGCACGATAGTAACTATGAAATGGGCATCTGCTAAGAAGGGATTTTCTATATTTCTAAAATTCGCCCCCTAAAGGTATAACGGAATATAATGAAAAATCTAAGTAGCCCTTATTCTCACCTGTTATTATCAAAAAGAGGTTTTGATTTGTCAAAAATAAACATCTGATTGGGTACAGTGTCCTCAGCAACCATTTCTACATTAACATGCGGCGCAACTTCTGCCACAATGCGGCGAATATTGTCCGGCATAAACGGTATTAATATTACATCACTCCAATCTATTAGCTTGGTGGTGAAAAGGGATGTCTTCAGTGTTGTCGTATCATCATCAGGGCACTGAACAATTATTTCCATGAGTTCATCCTACAAAAAAATAGTCAGACATAAATTTAAGAATGTGCAAAATTAATGCGTAATGTAAGTATAAACTAAACACATTATTTATTTACCGATTTAATAAAATAAAAAAGAATGCAAGGTTTTGTTCACGGCATTTGGGTTTTCCTGTTATGCGGAGAATTCAATTGGAGTTTACTCCTTAAGAATCGATTTGCATATATAAGGGGCCCGGTATGAGAAAAATGTGAGGAGTAAAATCTATCGATGAATGACCTTGTTACGTTTTTGGTGCGCATCCTATGTCGCGCAACTTTGACAAACAAAGATGACGGATTGACATTAATATTTTTTTTTAAATCTGAACTGAATTTAGATGTTGTTTCTGATAGAGCAATGGGGACAACGAGGTATGGTACAACCATTGATGCGGTATTTTCAAGATTCGTGAACCACGTATCTACGAACGTCCATGTGTCTTATTTTAGTTACTTATAAACCACTTGTCACTGTAATTAATAATTCAGACAATGTTGATTTAATTAATATTTTAAAAAATGATAATAGTCTGATAATAATAATTACATAATTTATCAACATTCCTAATGATATATTTATACACATCTGAAATTGACTATTGTAAAAAGTTTAATGTAAAATATTTCGTCGATTAGTTATAATAAATGTATATGAAATGAATAAATATATATTTATATATGTATATTATTTTCATTAATTTGTTAATTTACCCTTTCATACAGTATCAATCTTTTTTAAGTTAAATAAACTCTTTTTGCGTCTAGTTAGACTATCGAACTTAAGGAGTAAACTCCAGTCGTACGTCGGAGCTGACACACACAATTTTTTTTATACGTACTTTATGCGTTATCACCCGTTCAATGATCACCAGATAAACATTATCCATAATATGTACCGTGTGTGTATTTAGATACATTGCAGCATGTGATATGAATATGACAAACATACGATGCAAAGTTTACTATTTACTTATAGAGTGATATGCATTATTGTTTGACGGAAAATAAATGTCTGTAGGTAAGTACTTAACCTAATGAGATACTAACTGACGTAAAGTGATTATATCGTTAGCTATATTAAGTACTAGCGGCCGCCCGCGACTTCGTACGCGTGGAGTTAGTTATTTGCACATACCTTTTGACCCCAAAAGTGGGTTTACTTCTAAAGACACATTATTAGTACACCTCTACACCATCTATAGAGCATACATGTTAAATTTCAAGTCTCTTACTTCAAAAACATAGAACTTTCATACAGATTTCCAACCCCCGTATTATCCCCTTAGGGGTGGAGTTTCGTGAATTTTTTTCTTAGCAGATATCCACATCCTTTAAAGAACCTACCTGCCAAATTTTAAGTTTTGTAGATGTTATAGTGAGATGTCGTGATTAACCAGTGAGTGGTATTTCGCTGCGACGTCGTCTGGTGAACGCTATACAGCACCAAAAATACCTACGATTATACCTTTTAAAATAACATTCATTTACCCCTTTCTTCTTTACATTTCATATTACAGAAAGTGCAGTAACAGAGGGAGACTGTCTTTTGTAAATTTGATCTTCAAAAAGTGCTGATTTTCAGCCTGCTTTGGATAAATGACTTTATGGTGATTCTGCTGAGTTAAGTCATAATTGTCACTGAAGCAGATGGAGAAAATAATGAATAAGGAATACAGAATAGGGTGGAAATACATACTTATAGGACTTCTCGATAAACAACATAAGTGGATTGGCTCTCCACAGCCAAAATGTAAAGAGAGTCAGGACTGGTGACGCGGGAGCAAGCGACGTACAGCTGCCCGAGTGAGAAGTAACTCGTCCTGAGGTCGACACCCGCTGCCGTCAGTGTCTGCCCCTGCGACTTATTGATGGTCATCGCGAAGCAAACTCTCAAAGGGAACTGTACGCGCTTGAAAAAGAACGGGAAGTTTTTTTTTTTTTTTTTTTTTTTGAATACAATTACTCCATAGGCGTATGCCCATGCCATTATTTAGTTTGACTTTTTTTAAGTTTTGTTATATTATACATTTGTTTGTGCACTCAGTGCGGCCTTTTATATTTAATCATGCAAACATGCGGCATGCTCACTTATGTCTACTTAACTAATAATATTAATAATATAATTTGGACATATTGTCCATCCCCTTTTTAATGAATATTCTATTATATGTATACGCTTTTTTTTTTTTTTTTTTTTTTTCACTTATTATCTATTGTACATGCTTTGTGGAACAAAAGGATTTTCAGTTTATTCTATTTGTGTTATGTTTTTGCGGTCTCGGGCTCCTGCGTGAGTTCCCTCTCCTTGTCATCGCACGCAAGGGCCCGAGTTTCGCTATCTTTTTGGTAATTATTTAAATTTATTTGTTTCTATGGTACAACATTTACTGCTATGTTTTGCTAAATAACTTAAGTCTACTTGTTTCCTTAATCTATGTTAGTACATGTTTGTGTTATTTCCTTATGGTAAAAATATGTCATGTCCGGTGTGGGGAGGTCGGTCCAGATTTTGCTGTTTCAGACTTCAGTCAAATTTCTCATTATATTTACAGTGTCATTACAGTGTCTCTCATACGTATCGCACTTTTGGTGTTATAACGGATTATTGTCTCCGTGGCCGCGCCTGTCGTTCGCTTTATGAAGCGGCTTACTGCGTCGTCGCTGTCGTCTGTGTAGTAGCAACAGCTGTGTGTATGTCGAGACACAGCTACCACGGCGTGCGGGATGCTGTCGTGCAGTTTCGTTCGAATCCCCTTGGTTCTTATGATGCAGGTGTTCTTGCATGTTTGTCCCTGGGCTTCGTGTATGGTAAGGATCTTGGATCCAGTCCCACTTCCATAGCCTTTGGCGCTCAAGGTTCCCTTCTCCTCTTGTGTATGTACTAGATACAGTGTATCTGGGAGAAGGGGTGGGATATTTGCCCCGGTAAGAACGGGAAGTTATGAGGTATTAGGGGAATGCGTGGTATAAATACAGCTTTGCCGACGCCACAACCCGTAAGAATTTCCGCCTCAATGGTGTGTCTGTGGAGCGAGATGACTTTAGTTAAGGCGGGTCCCGTTACACAACTTCGGAGGAGATGGGTTCCGAAGAAATATAATCGGGACACCGACTTTCAGCTTGATGGTATGCGCTGGAAGTCCACTTGATGACAGGGAGTTCAGAAATTCCACGGGATAATGTGTGGCGTCATCTTGCTCGACGACAGTGTTTATAGAGGTGTAGACAACTTCATTCCCCTCAATTTCCGAGAGAATTCTGCTAGTGCGGTATAAGACTGATGTCCCCGTACACAGAGCGAATGAGTTCTTCTAAGCTGGATACAACTCTACCGAGAGACTCTGGATGCACCAACTGTCCACCTCTCTCCTCTGGTAGAGTGCCTTCTCCAAGACTTAGAACGACATCGGAGAATTCTTGAGCACGCCGAGCCGAGCTCTCATATTAATGGTCAAGCGCAGCGTACGAACTCATGACCAAAATGAAGATTAAAATTGTCTATTATGTTTATCGGCCTAAGTTACTTATAGTGTGAAGCTAGCTTATAGCATTATTAACATAATAACAACATTCAAATATGCATCGTTAGATTACACGTTGTTACAGAATGCATTGAAGAAATAAAGGTTCACTGCTCGTTCCCCGTAGGTGATAGCGTGATAATGTGTGGTCAATATGTTGACCCGACTTAATATTCGTGCCAAAGGAGATTGGTCAAATTGGCCTAAATGCAAATAAAATATTGACATATACAGTAATTCTTGGCGTAATTTATACTTTATTTTGCAGTCATTAGATTTTAACGGCCACCTTTAAATAATATATTAATTTTAAAAAAGGACTTCTATTTTTACCGGTTTGGAAAACATACGAATCATTTTTATTGGCTATGGGTGTAGTAACATTCACAAAGACTGATCGAGGTTGTTTATATAACATCAAAACAAATCTATTTTGTAAAGATTGATAAAATATATTTCTTTTTTATTACACGGGTGGTATTAATATCCACAACTTTATTATCATTTTTACTACATGCAAATGTGCTAAGACAATTAATATAGATGGTAGGCGACATCATAAAGTCTATTGCCGTACATTTTTTGCCAAACACCTAAATAAACACATTATAAGGTGTGATACACTAAAAATCTAAAATATGGTTATAATAAAAACATAACAAAAATAATGAAGCTGCTGAAGATATGGCTGTATAACCTACAGCTCTTAGCTTTCTTTGATTAACGAGAGTTTAAAAATTCTCTCTAATCTGTGGCTCATTCACAATCATCACACAGTTTCTGTTCGTGTTTTTAAAAACATGCACATATATGTTATTTTACATGCTCTATATACCTGAATCTAATACATAATATCGGTACTTGGCTTGATTTCCCTATTTTCCTATATAAGTTATTTGGTTTTTATTATTCTAATACCTATGTGCCTCTTTGCAAACATAACCTCAAAATCATTCAGTGTATATGGTTTATAGAAGTTCTCAGGAGTGGCCGTCGATAATATTCGTTTCTACGGTAATTTATATATAATTTCGAATCTAGGAAACAATTTTTCATGGTTATTGGTTTTTAGGCCAAACATGTATGGAAGCTGAGCAATCTCCTTTGAAGTAAATCCATGCAGTAAGTACTTTTTGAGTTAATTCCGGACATACATAGAGAAAAAAAATTTACAAACTATATTTTGGGCTTCGGTATTGATTGTAGATCACACCCCAAGTATTCTTTTAAAAAAATATTCAATGTACAGTTTTGACTTTCCTACCATTTTATTATATGTATAGATGATTCGATAGTGAAATGTTTAAACCTATAAACAGTATTGTATAGGTATACTGTAATCCAATATTAGAAGCAACAATTCAATAGGTACATGAATTCTAAAAGAAGGAATTCAGCTTATTTCCATCATTTAAATAACCAATGTCCAAATTACCTTAATATCATCCAAAAGAATTATATCTGTGTAATGTTGTTTTTTTCGAGTGTGTATGCTGGACGGCGAGATCCTAAGGGGACTTCAAGCCGAGAATTGGCGAGTGCCTCTTGAGGTATATCAGGCGGATGGCATCTCCCCACGGGGAGAGTCTCTACTCCGTCTGGTACCTCTAGACCACTCAAACCTGAAAGGGTCGGCTCAACTAGAGGGCGTCTCTGAGATTCGGACCTCGGCTCTAGTTAGCCGTTGTCGTGGGGGCGGGGAAAAACGCCTAGGTTCGCACCTGCACCTGGTATAGCGTGTCGTGAGTAGACCGGGTCTTCGCACCCTTATCCTACAGGGTGTCTGCCTAATGCTAAGCTAGTGTGCAAGTATGCTAGCTGTGTAGTGTTGGTGTTTGTGGCTTGAGTGGGAGAAGTCGGAGGCGCGTTGGCGCGGGTGATTTCGCCTTCGGCGTCGTCGAATGTCTCGAGGCGTCCTTCGTATACTTCGCGATGGAGTCTAATTTGAGATGGAGATGCAAATCGATGTTGCGCACGTACCACAGGCAACCCGTGGCACCGTGCAACGCACGATTTTGGAGCGTTTGTAAAAAGTAAATAATGTTGTATGAAAATTGAGAATAATTCATAACACACCTTCGATTTTTCGATCTCTTCCTCGCAAAGGGTTTATTCATCAGACAGCCACAATTTTAAAGCTCGATGCGTGGTATTTTTATAAATTTCAAAAAAGTACATTGTCATTCACTAATAAAATAGTAGTGGGAATAAATTAGATAACTTCAGTGATATACTTAGTGTGAAAAATATTATACTGTTTTTTTTACTATACTAAGGGTTTCTCGGCATAGTGTATGTTTAAAGATTCTAACGATACTCCATATGTCTGAATTTTCACACATCTGAAAAACTTGAAAGCATCACACTGTTCTGGTCAGCGATGGAAATAAAATCAGGATAAAAGAAAAAAAAAACCTAAAAAAAATCAAATTTATCTTTATTTAGGATTCATATAGCACCATTTTACCGTATGCAAGGCCTGAAATCCTAGATGATTGTACATCTTAAGAGCAAGCGTGTTTCCTTTATCGCAGTAACCAAACACATGTTTTTGCCCTTTCAACATTTCATTGCAAACCAGTTTCAATAAAGTTTTTCCGTAGCCTCTATTCCTGTAGTTTTCGAACGTATACATATGAGTGAATGATCCCACTTCGTTTATAAAGACACTAGATATTAGTGCATTGTTTTTAAATAATCCATATCCGGACTTGGCTTTGATTAATAGTTTAAATAGGCTTTTTGACCCTTCGTAACGATTTATCCAGACACTGTCGACTGTATCCACATGATCTTCCTTAAGCAAATCGAAAGTGATGTCTTCTGGAATTCTGGAATAATTATAATGATATAAAAAGAGTTTCTCATCAGAAGACCCTGTCTCAGCGAATTAACAGTTCGGGTTGGGACGGGTGTTCCAAGGTGGATTAGGAAATTATCCTTCACTATACAGTAAATTGGTAGTGTTGATGTAATCTATGTTTAAATCTATGGTGGAGTGTTTTGGTCAGAACAGTACCGATTTAGTCAAACAGTTATTATTTTAGCATTTCCTTCAATGTAAATTATTATTCTAAGTTCTATCGACCAAATTGTCGTAAAATTTAGATGCATGGTAGATAGAACAAATAAGCACTGGAGCGACAAATTGTCACGCTAATAACGATGTAGCATTTAAAGTCTTCTCTAAATGTCTCACCATCCCAAGTCCCAGGACACAGCGTGATGCTATAAAAAATATATGGACCGAGAGCATTAGGGTTTCCAGAGCTGCGGGAGATCACACAATGTAGGAGCTGTAATCCAGTCCAGGTGATGCAAACGTCTATAGACTATAATATGCTATAATGTAAGTTTTAAATGTTTCCAAAATTGAGTTATTATTTTGATTTTAAATATTTTATTGTTTAGTAACAGAAATCTAGCAGACCATGCATATTGTCAAGTATCATTGAGAAATTAAATATTCCTTACGTAATATTTTCAAATAATGGCGTCTTCTTGTCCAGCAATACGACATGGTAAGGTGGATGAAGGGCCTCACTCTCGATTTCCACGTTTACAGTTGGCGCAATTCTTTCAATTCTGTTGAATATATATACTGGTAGAAAAGGTATCGTTAGGGGCCGTCTCCACTCTATCAATTTAGTTGACAACAGACAATTTTCCAATTTCGTAATGCTATCAGGTGGACAGTAAACGATTATCTCATTGAAATTATTCTGAAAAGGCCATCATTATTCATCATCATTATCAGGAATCATTTTATTTCTGATGATAACTTCAAGCAAATGTCAATTTAGTTTCAAATATAAACGCAACATAATTGCAAGCAGTTTCAAATAATAAAGGCTTAAGAAGTAAACATTTCAGAATGATGTACACGAGAACATCAGATGATTATTTCATCCTTACCTTCTCAAATTATAAATTACTATGTTATTTTTATCAAATAACGTTTTTTATTTAAACATTTATCTGCTATTTTGCATTGTAGGTAACCCACAATGTCAAACTGAATACATTTTATGATTTTGATGTTGTGGGTTACCTACAATGCGATGAGATGGCGCTGCCTTGCAGTCTAAGAAATACTAGAAAAAATCGAGACGGCCATTACGGCCGCGGTAGAATAATGGTCAGTGCATCCGCACGGATGAAGAAGAGTGCGGATTCGGGACGAAAAATTCTAGTAAAAACTTTCTTCAAATGCATTTTTTGTACTAAACTGGCAAAATAAATACACACGCATAACGATAAGGTGCTTTGTAAAAAAATCAACACTGTTCATCTTTTTCGTTCGATAGGGATAGATAGTTACTATCCCTTGACAGACGGATAACAGAACCGGGAGTGGAGGCTTAGTAATAAAAGCAATGAGCTAAATGATAATGTCCTTAAATATCTAGGTCGACTTTTCCTGTAAGCTTGTACATTATGATTTATATTATGATCAACATATTAAACACGCAATTTTGACCTTCTGTGAGCCGTTTGCTCATTCACCTATTGTAAACAGCAATAAGCACGGTACAATACCTTTTTATTCATTGCGACAATCCCGTTCTGTGGATCTCCGTATGGGCAATATGCCTTGAACCCGTATCCAAGGCCAAGTGTCTCAAGTTGTTTTTGCGTTTGTAAGGCCGCTTGCGCTGAGATGCTACGAGGCCAATCTGTTGCAAAAACCTTCTCTAATTCTTCCCATCTTTCCATTGGCATGTATTGTAACGGTTCTTCGCTCATCGTTTAATCAAACGTTTTCTTTACTTGCAGTTCTGTTTAATGTTCACTAGTGTTTATGAGTCACAAAATTTGATAACAGTCCGTTCGGCTCGACAGCATCGTGCAAACTGCAATAGTAGTAATAATACTGTAATTCTGTTCCTATCTAACCACTGACTCAGTGATTACATTGTTATTAAATGGTTCGCGCACATAATAAAAAAAAAATATCTAAGAGGCTATTAGGCGCAATTCTGCGAAAATGGGGATATCATAATTAATTATGCAGACTCCGTACAATTTCTTCTGAAAAAAAAATTTATTATTACTGCCCTGTTTACGATTATAAACTTACAAAATTATTATATCAGGCATATACATAGTATTCTCAATCGCTTCCAAGAAAAAAGCGACACTTTAAAAAAACATAATTATTTCAATGACTGTGAAACGTGAATTTCAGCTCACTATGCGGCGCACTTTGGAAATTGTAGAACAACGGCTAAAAAATATTTTTTACTCATGTCTTTACTGACACACTTTATTTTTATAATGGTATAAGAGTTGAACTAATATCTAATGTAATAATTTTGGTTGAAATAAATTTGGATTTTTTTTTAATACGACAAAATGTCAATTCGGAAAATGTTTATTTCAGGTCTGTTCGCTTCATTATTATAAAATTGATTTCTTAAAAAAAATGTGAAAATATATATAAAGTGTTATACATTTCTAAAATGTCCATTATATGTAGATTTTAAAGCAATTATAATATTGTAGGTTTTATAATAAATTTTTAATGGAAAAAAAACTTACTATTTGTGAGGCGAACATAAAGTTTTCCAACTTCATCGAGACTTTTGACAGTTACCGACGTCTCCCGACGCTTTATATTTGATGTTGTTCTGTAGCGTAGATATTCATAAATAACATATATATCAAATCAGCTGCGGATACGTGCGGTTTTTGAAGTTATAGCGAAAAGTATGATATAAGTTAGGAAACGAAATCCTCTTTATATTGCGGTTGAATATTTTATTGATAAGTTTGTGTTATATTTAAATTTATTATTTATTGATAATATAGCGTTTATATCTACATGATATAGTAAAATCTACATTTCGCACTCATGTTGCGGTACAACTTTATCAACAGAATGCACACTACCCTTATTTATCAAACAATTTAAAAAGCGTGGATCATTATAGATATTAACGGGATTGTTACCATGTACCTTGTTTTTTATGAGTCTCCGATATTACTATTTGTGAGGCGAACAATACTCCGTGTTCATGGCGCGCAGTTACTCCGTGATCATAGCGCTTGCAACAGTGCCGAAATATCGGAGACTCATAAAAAACAAGGTACATGGTAATAATCCCGTTAATATCTATAATGTTAGTGACCATGAAAGTTTAAAACAATATAGCGTGGATTCATTTTATTTAGCTATTAAAAGTTCGTGAATAAACTTAACAGACGTTTGACTGTTAAGTTTTTTCGCCGAATCTCAAAATGACTGCTACTTTCAAGTATTTTAATCGTGGATTATTAATTTCATACTCTATCAACAGTTTTAAAAGAAGACTATTATGTTTCTGAAGACAACGTGTCTCATCACTGATATTCAAAGCAATCTTATTCCTAGCTTTAATAGACGATGGGCAGAAGCGGTAAGGAAAAGTGATGCATTTTTAAAAAAAGAACGACAAGTGGTTGAATTCAGAGTATTTGGTAACTTTAGCGGATTCGGAAGAACAAGAACCTGATTTCACGCTATCTACTTCTTCTGGGAAACGCGGAAGACCCTGTGTGGCTTATGGGGACTTATCAGAATCAATAAAAAATAGAAAAATATACCTCGTTACTTAGTGATTATGGCTTTGGACACATCTACAATGCCTTTACTCAGGGATTACGTTCGATAGGAGAATGAATAGAAGCAAATCTCGTGGAATTAAGGCTTGCTGATCGTGATACTAATACTCTTTATATTTGAATCTTATAGATTACGTAAGCCAGAGCAAAATGCTAATGGATCAAGAAGCATTAAGTGTTTTCAGTGATTTTGATTTAACGAAAGCACAATATATGTATATAAGGAATTTAACTAACGAACGAAACTTTTATATTCCCACAATTTTATAAAATACAAGAAATCAAACAGAGATGTTATCCACCACCTTCAGCAATAGATATTACAAATGCACATGCTAAAATACTGAATCTTCAAGATTTATTGGACCACACTGCAGTTAGGATTTTGGCTAAAGATTCTGTGTATAAGAATGGATTGAGCCATTTAGTTTTATACAGTAAATAGGGATGTGATTGTTCAACTGGTCAAAGTCAGTATACTTAAACAAAAACTTCCAGTGGAGTCTGAACTTGTTTCTGATGCAAGTTTCTTTATTGCATCTTCACGAGAGTGGATGTTTGATTAAACGGTTTTACATAATTTTACAAACTCTTTCATCGGGTGTAATGATAAATGCTGAAAATTTTGGAAAGTATGCCATGGAATCTGCTAGAATCTATGTGAGTAATTATGAATGGTACTACATGCCATCTTCAGTTCATAAAAATAATTTCTGGTGAAAGTATCATTAAATATTTTATTGTGCTTCCTAGTTAACTTTCAGAAGATGCGCAGGAGTCCCATAATAAAGATTATAAAAAATTTCGCCAATATCATGCCAGAAAGTGCTCTTGATCAGCAACAAATGAAGATGTATTTCATACTCTTCTCTACACATAAGATCCGTACATTTCCAGCCTAAGAAAGACATATAGCAAAAGTGTGAAGGCACTTGATGAAGATAACCTAGATCTTTTAAAAGTGAACGAACTCATCTTGGATCCTGAAGTTCACCAAGTATAAAAAATAATGTATGATACGTAACAGTCAAACGTCTGTTTAGTTTTTTTACGAATTTGACTTGTATCCGCAGCTGATTTTCATACATTTTATTTATGAATATCGACGCTACAAATATAGTACATAATTTTTCTAATATCAAATTAGTATCTTATCTAATATTTAATTAGTACTTATAAATTAATAACTTTCATATTTTGAGAAATAAATATTTGTAATCTTAACTTTTAATAGCTTATTAATTACGTGTGTTTTTAAATATTTTTATTTTACAATAAACAAGATAAATAGAAAAAAAATTAGCTGAAGATAATTTCTTTTAAACATTTTTTTATATATATTTATTTAAATAAAAGTTTTGTATTTAAACTTCATCTAAAGCCTTATTTGATATTCTATGCTTGACCAAAAATTCAACTGTCTTTCTTAACAAATAAAAAAGTTATCGATTTTTGATCTGAAACACGCCCCCCTCACCCCGTGTTCTATAGCAAGCGATAGCAAGCTCCGTTTGGAGTGCACGCGCGCACGTGTTCATTTCAAGATATTTTTTTTGGTATTTGCGTGCTCCTGTGGTTTTCAAAAGAATGGATGAAGAGCTTCTGATTAATTTAATTCATGGAACAAAGAGCTATACAGGCAAAAAAAGAATGATTTTCAAAATCCGTCAATACGCTGCAACCCGGTCCGTTTCTCAACGACATTGTTATTATGAATTGTTTGTCATTATTAAATCGAACTTAATTTAGTCTTTTGTGAGATGTCTGTATGTCCCAAGCCATCTGTCGCGTTCTTCTATACACTAATATTAAGGCATGGAATAACGAAGGCTAATGACCATCTCTTATCTAATAGACAAGTCCGTCCGTCCGTGGTGCTGTTTCAGCGGCCAAACCGTAAGAGATAGATATAGAGAATGTTTAAGTTATAAGTTAAGAATAGTCTGATAAGACTACAAACCGGATGTGAGTAACGTAGCACTTCCGGTTTTCGAGAAATCACGTGATCTCTATTTTAAACGAAACCACACAAAATCTCCGAAGTTCTCAATTAATTAAATACATTTTTTTTTTGGTGAATATTTGGTTCACTGGTTTGCTAGTTATTATTAATAGCTCCAATTCCAGCGGAAGATCCGCTAAACGTATGATGAATGTGAGCATTTATACCCGAGTCATGGTTGCTTATACAAATATATATTACAAATATATATTGTATGTTTTTAGCTATTTCTAGTTAGTACAAACTATTATCCCATAATACAAGCAAGAGTGCTAAGGTACTCGTACTTTGGGATTAATGGGTTTCATACAAATAATTAAAAAGACATTGATTTATTTATATCGTATTATTAAGCTACTAGCAAACCAGTGAACCAAATGTTCACCAAAACCTGATTTAAAAAAAAAATGTATTTAATTAATTGAGAACTTCGGAAATTTTGTGTGGTTTCGTTTGAAATTCGTGATTTCTCGAAAACCGGAAGTGCTACGTTACTCAAATCCGGTTTGTAGTCTTATCAGACTATTCTTAACTTATAACTTAAATATTCTCTTTATCTTTCTCTTACGGTTTGGCCGCTGAAACAGCACCACAGAAGGACGGACTTGTCTAATAGATAAGAGATTGTATAGCTTTTATCACGGGCTTTGAGCGGAGCGACCGATACAAAAAATTCCGTAACGAAAAAATTCTTACAAGAGTGCATATACCAAACGTTCGACGCATCACCGCGGTCGTCAGTTCAAATCCCGCACTCGTATTTTTTTTTTTCTTAATCTTGTATATCTAAATATTGTTAAAGCAGCTTTATATCAGATATTGGTAAGTCTTATCATGGCTGAATGAACAAATATTCCTTTTGTTAAGAAGCTGATCTTTTCGAGGATTAACTTAGGGATTTCTTTCCATTTGGGTCGTAGGCGTAATACGATATTGCGTCCCATGTCCTTATCGGCAAATTTTCTCGTCTTTTTATTAAAATTTAGCTCAAAACTTTACTTGCTGTTGCAGCTACTGGTTAACAACCGCAGGTTTTCTAAATAAGGTTTGTTTTCTTTAAAGTTGGTCTAGGATATTAATTTTACTTTATGTAATTACTCGGAGAAAGAATTCGTAACAGTAGTACCGTAATGGAAAAAGATAATAGAAATACTGATATCAGCGGAGTTAAATACCTGCGGGAGGTTTTGCCCCTATCTTCATCATCGTGTATTTACAGAGAGCAACACGGTCGACGT